GACCAGATGGTAAAGACGGAGATCATCATGGACCGGGACCTGCAGGACCGCCTGGTCCACCAGGACCTCCCGGTGCACCCGGACCGGATGGAAACCCAGGTTCACCAGGTTCGGATGGAAATGCTGGAGCTGATGGGGAGAGAGGAATTTGTCCCAAGTATTGCGCTATCGATGGTGGAGTTTTCTTTGAAGATGGAACAAGGAGATGAAGTTTTGGCGAAGATTATGCTCCAAATAAAAAATTCTCAAGCGTATTGTTTTTAGTCCGTCATTTACAACGTTTTCTCAACGTTTCATGCTGTTAACTATTTTATTTTTATTCAGTTGATATATATAAACTTGATTAAGCCATTCACAAAATTGTCCTAACGCTTTCTTCTTCTATCATAGGGTGAGTAATAATATCTAAGCAGCATTCTTTTTTGAAAAATTATTCGGTAAGACTTTGATCAAACTACTCACTTATTGTTCTCTCCTCTCTTATTTATTTTTAGACTTTTCGCAAAGATGCGATGATAAAGAATTGTGGCAAAATTACACACTTTGCAATGAAGTACGTTTTCATCCATCATTTTTGGCCATTTTTTCTATGAAAATCACACCCGTTTGCTTGGTTTTTTCCCCTTTGACACTTTATCATTTGCGTCTGGTCTTAATGCAAGCAATGCCCTAAGATGCAAAGCAAAAACTACTTGCATTTTTTTCTGATGCAACAAAGCTAGTTATAGGTTTTTAAGAAATTTTACAATTCAATTAGGAAGTTTCCGCTCATAATTATTATTGCAACTTTCGAAGATTAACGCAATACTGGCCATTTGGGAATTGGTTGCTGATAAGCCTATTTTTAACATCTTTAGATGGAATGTAAATGAAACTGAATCATTCTAAAGAGCTCTGCCTTCTGGGCAACAAAACAGTAGTTTTTCTGTTGAACAATTTTTTGCAATTTCAGCTCCACGGCAAAAGAGTTCTCTTGAATTTCTTTTTTGCCTCATTATAACTTCTAAGCTTCAAAAATCATTTGAGAATCATGTGTGAACTCTAAAAAAAAGAATAAAAATTTTGGCTAAAATTTCTAAGGAGAAAATTAGGCTTTTGTTGTTGTCTGCCTGTCGTAAAAGAATGTTAACGAGTTAAGCAAAAACAATCAGAATGTTAATTGGGAACTACAATTACATCAATTT